CTCTTTGTCATATGCTACCTCTTGAAATGGTTGAACATCAACCATTTCCTTTTGGTACAGTGATTCTGTGTATTCCTTCCATCTTCTTTTGATGCTTCTGCATCATTCAATAATTTGTCCAGAGAATCCTTCAGTAACGAAAATCGAGGCTTGAATTTTTTTCTTCAGTTCCTCCAGCTTGAGAAATGCTGAACGTGTTCTTCCTTTTTGATTTTCTGACTCCAGATCTCTTCACATTTCTTTTTAATATTTGACTTTATCTTCTGAAGCTGACATTTGAAATTTTCTGTTCAGCTCTGTACCTCCTCATTTCTTTCATTTGCTTTAGCATCTCTATTCTGGAGAGCATGTTTCAGTGTATCTTCTGACATCCATTTTGATCTTTTCCTTCTTTCTTGTCTTCTTAATGACTTTTTGCTTTCTTCCTGTATGATGTTCTTGATGTTATCCCACAACTCTTCTGGTCTTTGGTCTTTAGTGTTTAATGTATCAAATCTGTTTATCAGATGATCCCTAAATTCAGGTGGGATATAGAGGCTTTAAAGCTACTCAATCTGCAAGGATAGTTGAAAAAGTTTCATCTAACATGTACTTCTTATTTTGGTGAACAAATCCTCATTTTTATTATGTTAATGAGGCCAGATGCAATCTTTAGTCTATCTCTTTTGACATATAAAAGGAGAGAGAAGTTAGCAGAGTTCAGAAGGACCTTCTACCTACCACCAAGATGAAGAGCCAGAAGGGTAGTACATCTTTTGGATCCAAGGGTCCCTGTACTGTGAAGCTCCTAGATCTAGGGCAAGATTAATACCAAGACATATGGTGATCTCCAAGGAATACTTGTACCTACAGATCCAGATAAGAGACAAAGACCTTTCCCTAGACACAGATAAAACCTTTCCCTAGAGTTGGTCCTCTAAATTTAGACTCCTAGCCTTCTAAACTGTAAGAGAATAAATTTCTGGTTGTGAAAGCCATCCACTTGTGATATTTCTGTCATATCAGTATTAGATAAATTTAATATTTGTTGTTGTTTAGTGCTTTCAAGTTAGTTCCAACTCGTAGCGACCATGTATAGGGCTTCTGAGGAGCAGCTAGTGAATTTGAATCGCCAACCTTGTGGTTTAAGCTGACCTTGCAGTCAAGTGTTTATTCTACATAGAGAGAGAAAGGATGTGTGTCCTGTCATTGCTCTGTAGAATAATCTTTGTACTGCTAATTGAGAAGTTGGTGGTTCAAACCCACCAGCTGCTTCTTGAAAATCCTAGGCAGGATTGCTTGAATTGGAACCAACTTGATGACACTTTACAACAACAACAAATATATGTATATGCATAAGGAAATATTTGTTGTTGTTAGGCGTTTTCAAGTTGTTTCTGGCTCATAATGACCCTATGTACAACAGAACACTGCCTGGTCCTGTGTTATTCTCATGATTGCTGCTATGTTTGAGCCCACTGTTGCTGCCAACCCATTGAGGGTCTTACTTTTTTTGTTTTTGACTCTCTACTTTACCAAGCATGATGACCTTCTGTAGGAACTGGTGCCTCCTAATAACATGAGCAATGTATGTGAGATCAAGTCTCTCCTTTCTTGCTTCTAAGGAGCATTCTGGTGTACTTCTTCCAGGACATATGTGTTCATTCTTCTGGCAGCTCATGGTATACTCAATGTTCTTGACTAACACCATAATTCAAAAGCATCAATTCTTCTCTGGTCTTCCTAATTCATTATTTAACTATTGTATGTATTTAAGGTGAATGAAAATACCATGGCTTGGATCAAGCCCATCTTAGTCCTTTAAAGGTGACATCTTTTAAGAGTTTAAAAAGTTTGTCTGCTAACCCCAAAGTCTCAACTTGACAGTACATGACAGTATATAGAGTCCTTGTGTGGCACTGTGGGTTAATGTTCTGGACTGTAAGGTCAGTTTGAACTG